AATCAAGATCACAAGGTTTCTTATTCTTCTAGGAATTTTTTTCTTTAAGCAAAAGGATTTTGTTCATCCCTCTCAACGAATCGGATGTGAAGGTTTTGTCAGTGTCTTATTCTTTTCATTTTTTAGGCTACATAGTCCGTTTCTGCTTATGTTGATCTGTCCTGGGGAAAACTTGTAGAGGAGCATACCCCTATAGAGTGGGGAAAAATGATTGATGCCTATCTTTAGCAAACTGTTGTTTTGTCTCAGAACCAATAGTCAAATTACAAGGCATGCCTTTTGCAAACAAGTAGCCTTGATAACAAGGCTAATTTTTGGAGAAAGAGTGTGGTATTCTTCAAAAGAAATTGGGAAAAGTTGAAAACGATTGAGCAAAATATAAGGAAATGAGCAATGTGATGAATCGTTTGCTGTGAATGAAGCATCTTTGGTGGCAAAAGCCAAGAAGATCTCTTCAAAGCTAGAATTAACCAGGGTCAATCATGTAGCTTACGTCATTAGGATTGAATGCAACGTTTCATGCTTTAGAAAGGAATTCCACTCACTATGTCTAAACAGGATGCTGCTTTCGAGGAACTTGACCTTATTATGAATGAAGTTGCACGCTTCAAGGTATATTAGAGAGTAATAAGATAAAATTATTGTTATGTATGTGGCTTATATAGAGTGGAACTCTAGATCAAATAAATGCTGAAGCGAAGTAGTGGAGTGAGGGGAGTGTATCGCACCGAACGAAAGGGAGTGGAGGCAAACTGCTGAACCACGTAAATTCTTGTGTTGATTTCTCTATTTCATCTCTTTATTATTACACATAAAATCCAATTGGCAATAGAGCAATGTTCAGTTGGCAAGTTCTTCGATTGTAAAATTCGATATGATGAAATTTGACGGGTCTGAAAATTTCGAATTATGGCAGTGAAGAATGAAGGACTTGTTAGCACAGCAAAGAATGGTAAAAGCACTATATAGGAAGAAGCTAGAGGGTACGTTAGATGACGATTGGGAAGAGCTCGAGACACGAGCAGTTGGTATAATTCGGCTTTGTTTGGTGGATGAGATCATGTATCACATCATGGATGTTGAGTCTCCAGCGGAGGTTTGGGAAAAATTGAAGAGTCGTTATATGTCGAAGTCTTTCATGAACAAGCTGCATCTGAAGCAGTGATTGTACGGGCTCAAGATGTTGGAGGGTACAAATCTGATTCAGCACACCAATGTGTTTAATCAAATTATCAGTGATTTATTGCGACTTGAAATCAAGTTTGATGATGAAGACAAGGTAATGATATTGTTGTGCTCTCTTTCTCTTCCGTATGACCACCTAGTGACCACGTTAACGTGTGGTAAAGAGACTTTCGAATTGGAAAAAGTCACATCAGTCCTGTTGGCCTACAACCAGCGAAAACTGCATATTAGGAAAAGTTCACAGGGAGAAAGGCTGATCATAAAGGGCTACCAGGATCGTAAGAGAATGAAAGACAATGCTAGTTTTTACAAAGAGAACACAAGATCAAAATGTAAGAATCAAAATTGGAAAAACGTCAAATGCTACAAATGCCATCAGATGGGTCACGTTAAGAAAGACTGTCCGAATAAGAAGTAAGGTGATTCAAGGAAAAGTGATGGATCCTCAAATTCAGCTAGTGTTGCAGAAGGACACTCGGATTCTAAAGATAGAGACATGCTATCAGTCTCTACAGGTAATTCTGAAAAATTACATGACTGCTCGGTACTTAATTCAGCCTGCTCATATCACATGTGTCATCATCAGGATTGTTTTGATTCATATGCTCTGGGTAATTTTGGATCTGTTCTGAAGGGTAATGATGCATTATGTAAGGTCATTGGAATGAGATCTATAAAATTTAAAATGTTTGATGGTGTGGTAAGGACCTTGGAGGATGTTATGCATGTACCTGAGTTGAGAAAGAATCTAATTTTTAGGCACTTTAGACACAAATGGTTACTTTTATAAGTCACAGTGTGGGACTGTAACAGTAAAGAAAAGGGCTATAATTGTGATGAAGGGTCACAAATTAGCAAGCAATATCTACAAGCTACTCGAAAATACAGTTGTAGGTGGAGTTGTTATGGCAAAATCTAAGTCAGATGACACTCTTCTATGGCATATGCGACTGGGGCATCTAGGAGAATGTGGTGTGGTCGAGCTTCAGAAGTGGAATTTGATAAAGGGGGTAAAATCATGTAAGCTGGATTCTGCAAGTTCTGTGTACTTGGAAAATAGTCCTGAGTACAGTTCAAGATGGAAAAGCGCAAGACAGAAGGAATTCTTGATTATGTGCACTCAGATATTTGGGGACTAGTGAGGGAGTTGTCCAAATGTAGATTTCAGTATTTCATTACTTTTATAGATGACTTCTCTAGAAAAGTTTAGGTATATTTTATAAAGCACAAGTTTGAAACCTTTGCCAAGTTTAGATTGTGGAAAATAGAAGTAGAGACCAAACAGGTAGAAAAATTAAGTATCTGAGGACAGACAATGATACGATACAGAGTACACAGATTCAGAGTTTCCAAAATTCTGTGAGGAGCATAATATTTAACAGCATTATATAGTTCGCAAGAGACCACAATACAATGGTGTAGCAAAGAGATGAACAGAACAATTACAGAATGTGCAAAACGTTTGAGGCTGAATGCATGACTTTCGAAGATTTTTTGGGCAGAAGCAGTGAACATAGCATGTTATGTTATAAACAAATCACCACGAGCAGCACTAGATGGGAAAGTTGCAGAGAAAGTTTGGACATGTAATGAAGTTGATTATTTTGAATTTAGAGTATTTGGGTGTTCGGCTTATGTGCATGTATCTAATAATCAGAGATCCAAACTTGGTCCGAAATCAAGAAAGTTCAATTTTCTAGGCTATGTGAAAGGTGTAAAAGGTTACAAGTTTTGGGATTCAGAGACAAGGAAGATGATGATAAGTAGGGATGCAGTCTTTGATGAAGCATTTATCCTTAAATATTCTTCAGATAAAGAGAAGCTCAGTTCGGACGAGGGCAACAGCAACAACCAAGTGGTGCAAGTAGAGCTAGATAATGTTGACAAGGAGATTAAAGCTCAGGGAGCGGATAGTTTTAGGTCAAAAGTGGAGTAGTATCATAGTATTGCTATAGATAGATCACGTCGCACTATCAGGCCACCAAGGAAGTATGGATTTGAGGGTTCGATTTCTTATGCACTCATCACCAGTAATAGCAATCCTATAACTTTTCAAGATGCCATTGGTAATCAGAGAAAGGTAAATGGATAAAGGCTATGACGGAGGAAATTGAGTCACTGCATAAAAATAATATTTGGAATTTGGTGGAAAGGGGAAGAAACCGATAGGTTTACAAAAAGAACGAATTAATGTCAGAAAAGAAAAGAGAAAGATACAAGGCTCGATTAGTAGCAATGGATACTCACAGAGGAAGGGAATAGATTATGATAAAATTTTCTCTTCGGTCGTCAGAAGCACTTCTATCAGGATTGTTTTGGCAATGGTGGCTAGTTTTGATTTGGAGTTAGAGTAGCTAGATGTGAAGACTTGCTTTTCCTCATGGTGATTTGGAGGAATGGATTTTCATGAAGCAGCCAGAAGGGTTCTTGGAACCAGAAACAGAGAATCTTGTGCGTAAACTGAAGAAGCCTTTATACGGGTTTAAGTAGTCTCCACAACAATGGTACAAGAAATTCGACCTCATATGATTCAGATTGGCTACAATCATTGTGAGTATGATTATTGTGTTTACTACAGAGTTCTTTAGGATGATTTATATATTTTCTTGATGTTATATGTAAACCACATGCTAATTGCTGCTAAGAACATGAATGAGGTAGACAGATTGAAATTTTTTATGAACAGTAAGTTTGATATGAAAGACTTAAGACCAGCTAAGATGATTCTTGGTATGGAGATCAACAGAGATAGGAAGGCCAGAAAATTATGGGTGTCTCAGAAAAATTAGTTAAAGAAAGTGTTGGAGAGGTTTAGCATGTCGGATGCAAAACCTGTTGCTACACCATTAACAAATCACTTCAGATTGTCTAATAATAAGTGCCCAAAGAATCAGATTTATCATGCAAAAACCAAGGACATTGATGTGAGATTTTGCAAGATAAATGAGTTGGTTACTTCAGGAGAACTGCTGTAAGAGAAGGTGCATACCTCAGAGAATGCAAGAGATATGATGACAAAGCCAATCACAATGAATATGTTCAAGTATTGTTTAAACTTGATTAACATCTCTAGGTGTTAGAGAGGATGTGTTCTAACCCATTGGTCCTAAACGGTGTGGTTTCCGAGGTTATATTTTTCTCTTGAGGGATGAATATTCGCCAAGGTGGAGATAATTGTGCATGTGACTCATATAAAGTGGAACACAGTTTCCCTGGATCAAATAGATTGATGCCTTTCGCACATGATAAATATTTCCCATGATATTGATTAAGTCTCACCTTGGTTTTCAATGTTTTGTGATATGTTCTCTCGGGGTGACAATTAGTCCCTACATTTCTTAGACAGAATAAGTCTCACCTTGGTTTTCAAAGTTTTGTTAGAACCTTCACTTCACATTTTGCAGAAGAAGCTCGCATAAACTCACAAATTGCGAGGATGGACCTAGCTTTTTGTCTGCAGTTTTCATCTCTACAACCCTATATTAATGTTCATCATTCTTTGACTGTTTAATTATTTATGCTTCATCGAGTGCTTGCGAAGTTATCCTTACTGGTAGATAGGGTTTTTTCTCTTCCTTACATTTTGTAGCATCAGATATTTTCTTTCCCAAGCGATGTTTTTTCGAGCATGTTCTATCTTTTCTTCCAGCTTTGTTGTCAGGTTTGTTCATCTAGAGAATCAAATATATATATATAATGTGTCAAAAAAATAATGGAGAAATTTACTTATTTATTTATTTTAATTGATGAAAACCTTTTAAAAAAAATACATCGATGCGAGAAATATATGAGAGAGGAGTGTTATATATATATATATATATATATATTTTTATCAAGGTGTCCACCTTCGACGACTATTTATTGGGTCTGTGATCCAATCCCTCTTCACACAGACAAATTAAACCGCGGGATGTGCCTCCTACTGAACAGGGTCCGAGCGCCTCTCCAACTGAACTGCCAAAGTGTCTAGTGAGCCAATCCACGTTGCGCCTTATCTTCCAAGACATTCCTGCTTTCCAAGATAAATTATGTCTTCCAGTATATGTCTTGCCTTCCAAGAGCTCCACGAATCAAACCCACGATCTCTGAACTGTCAGCCTTGAGAGAATCCTTTCTTTGTCAGTGGAGAAGTGCATGGGGCTAAGTGTTGCAAATATTTATTTGCTCAATGCTTGTTTTTGGCATATTCTACGTAGCAATGACCCGATGTCGGTGCACATATTTATGCGTCAAAAGCAATTTTAATCATATAATGCGCTTTTATGATCGACAATTGAAAACCGATTTTTATGTTGGGAAAAATGAAAAATTTGTATATTGTGACTTCCAAGATAAAGTTTAAAGAGGAAATCGATAAAATTTCAGAGATGTCATGTAATGATTACGTGGAAAATCAATTACTTCATGACTGACTGTCAATTGGACCAGGGGCGGAGCCAGGAATGTTTTTCAGTGCGGGCATAATAATGCCGAACTTTGAGTTTTTGACTATGAATTTAATAATGATAAAAATATAAAACAATACTACTGCAAACTAAAAATAATATAGCAGTGTTCTATGAAAAAAGGTCATTAAGAAAGCTCAATATAAGCCAATTACCTTGTTGTTGGCAGCAGCATGCTTCTTGAGAACCGAAGCCTGGGATTTCTGGATTTGTATATGAAACATTCTTTAATATCACATCTTTCCTCTTTTCTAAGGAAACCACCAACCATCACTGTAATATTGACTCCATTGTATGCTTCAACAACATTAGCTTTTGCAAAACCACCTGATTTAAATAGCATAGTAGATAGATACATATTATCCACTTTTTAAGTTTTAACCTATATCTCATCTGGCATACAAAATGTCAAAATACATGAATGCAACATTGACCAATCCCATATCCAATTATTACTGGGAGTGAGTGAGAATAATTCATAATGACAAAAGAATCATATATTCACAATTTCACAATCTCAATTCGCAGTGCGATTCACATTTCACAATCCAATTCACATTTCACAATTTCACATTATCAACCCAATTTCACAATATCAATTCACCTTATCAATCCAATTTAATGCTCCATTCAGACATACACCATACTATTAATTTATTTATCACTATTTTTTATCTATTTATATATAATTTAAAGTGTTTATAAACACTTTCCAAATATTTGATATATGCTTAATAATTTTCCATGATTACTTCCACGATCGCTTAATTGCATAATCATTATGGATTCCTCTTCTTATAATTATTTGTAATCCTATCCCTATATTTAGTTGGAGCCATATTCTGGAGATAAAAATGAATTAAATTCATAATATTTTACAAGTTAGTAGTCGCAGCTTTCATGCAAATTCTCTTTTCTTTCTTTATGAAACCAAAAGTTGGATCTTTTGCAAACTTCTTTTGCCCAAAAGAACTCGATAAGATAATTAAAATATTTAGACTTCTGCAACTGCAATATTCTATTCTAAGCGATCCCTCTTTCATCCATTTTAGCGCTTTTTTCTTTATCATTTTTAACCCTTTTCCAGCAGCCCTTGACATTCACTTTTCTTTGGGATGGGTCCATGGCACCTAATCGTTTTTTGGTTAAGTTTATATGATTTGGTAACAATTTGTAAATAGACCCATTTCTTGTACTTTGTTCACCCTTAGGCCGACCATAGCACTCAATTTTTGGAGCTTGGGTATTGCACTTGGGAGAGCAGTGAGCAGATATCAATACAAATGACAGGTAATTCAGCAATTTTTGGAGCTTGGGTAATGGGTATCGCACTCGGTTCATTTCTATTTTCTCTTGTGCCTAATTTTTACTAAAATGACAGGTAATTCAGCAATGGAAAATTAATTAGCACACAAATTAACTCAAATTGAAATCATAGTCAGTAAGTCACCTTCACCTTCTTCGTTCAATCGTTCTTCTGCTGGGCTACGGCCGGCGGGCCTACGACTTCTTTTCTTCAAATTGAAATCAAGGTCAGTAAGCCACTGCTGCCCACGGCTTCTTTTCTTCAGTTCTTCTTCTTTAGAGGCGGCAGCTGATGCTTGGCGAGAGGCGATGGCAGTTACGGTCCTGCGGAGTTGGGTGGGGGAGGATTGGGGTTTCAACTTTGGAGATACCGGATACACTTACAGTGTCGGAGATTAGAGCCCCTAATCTAGGAGATGCCGGCCACCGGTGGATTGGAAGTAGAAGCAGCCGGCGGGGGCGGAGCAGGTGAGAGTTGAGAGATGGAGAGAGACGAGATTCAAGGGTTTGGTTAATTGGTTTGGTTTTGATTTCAATTAAAACGGGTTAATTGAATGATTTGAATCCACATTCCAGGTCCGGGTCGGTAAACAGGTCATGGGTTGTGGGTAGTTGGACTTCCATCTGGGTTGGACATTTAACCAGGTTTTTAATAAAAAAAATAAAAATAAAAAAATTGGGCCTATTGGAGCCCAAAAGTTCAGTGCGGGCATCTGCCCGCACTGGGCCTAATGGGGTCCGCCCCTGAATTGGACAATTTCATTAGCTTGAAGACAATAAGTGACAAAAAAGAGATTTAATAATGAAATTGAAATTGTTCCAAAATTTTATAATAACATATTATTTTCAGAACTCAGCACACGAGAATTGGAATTAACATTATCCGAAATCTTATTGGCAACAGATCGAATTAATAGCTCAACATGGCTTCAAAAAATGTGTTGACATCATCTTGAGAAAAAGTGATGTAATAAAATATATTGGAAAGATGACGAGTTCCGACAACATAACTCAACTCTCATCCAATACATCGAATAAGACTTTACATTAGAAGAATCTAGCAAAAAGTCTAAAGTTTGGATATTATTCTAACACACTTTATAATGTGACGAGCCAAGAAGAATATAGAAAAAAATTAAAGTTATGATAGAAATTACAAACTTCATCCCTTCTCTCCCTCTAAAGGTCCATTATAATTCAACAATTTGTTTAATCGATACAAATTGTGACCCTGATCTTGCAGATATTTCGATTCCAGTGAATGATGACGCTATATCTTCAATCCGCTTAATTCTTAACAAATTAGTATTCGCAATTTGTGAGGGTCGTTCTAGCTATATAAGAAATCCTTGATTAATAATAAGATAAATAACTTATTCCGAAAATCCGATATATTTATGGAATCGGTTATTATTTCTGAATAAACTATAAAGAACAATACAAAGAACATATACATACAAGAAGTCATAAAACAACAATGCACTAAGCAATCGAACACAGACCAAAACCAATAGAATTCGAAAAAGTCGAAGCTGTTTGGGTATCATAGTCGAATTAAGCCCAACCCTGTTTGTATCTGCGGAATAATTCTTCGGTTTGAGCATTTCTGTATGCGCTGCAAGCAATAAGATAAACCCAAATTAGAACCACAACTGTGACTATAAGGATTATGTTGGCTTTCCTCCATTCGTGTCTTAGGTTTCCCAATAGACCAGCCTTGCAAGAATTACAGTTATAGCACAGTTGGCTCGGATCGTTGTTCCATATGAAGCAATCTGCGTCCGCTGCTTGGTTTGATGGGCCGATCCACGATATGGGACTCGTGTATTGGAACCCACAGATTGTTGGAGGCTTACAGCAACCAGACTGCAATGGGTAAAATTTTAGGAAAGAGAAACAAGTCCTAGAAAATGTGTGTTAAATGAACTACCTGGGCTCACAAAAATTTAGGGCAACCAAGAATGTAAAGCACGGTGCCAAAGCTAGCAACCGTATGAACATATCAATGTCTCGGGGGCACAGACAAGATATAATCCTAATTATAGTAGAGCAATTGAATTAGGTGCAAAATTTCCAGATCACGCTAACGAAAAAAACAGAAACAATTGAAATATTGTAGATGACAGCATGCAATCGGAAAATGCTAAAGGGACCACCACTAATTAGACAACAAACAAGACTACTTGTTGGCCGGATAAATTCATTTTCTTCGAATTCATATTGTATGATATAGAATAAAGAATTGTGGAATCCACATGGAATTGTGGCCAAAAGAACCCAGATTTGTGTGATAATGGAGTCTTTGACTCTTAAGTTGAAAGTAATATTACATTAATCAAGCAAATTTTGGACAAAAATTATTGTTGTAGGTCCAAATCACCTTTATTTTTGTTCATTCAAATGGGAAGCATTTTCGTTATGCATTTTAAGAATATTAGGCCTAATCTCTCCCATAAAGATTGATTTTAAAAATAACAATCCCCTGGAAGGGCTCAGATCAGAGAAATTTCAGGGATGTTCTGCATTACCGAAATTAATGAACATAATCTATAAAAGTGCACTAATCATTGGCCTAATGTTCATGAAATCCTCACCAAAAGTTTCTTCTGCAACCTCAGTACAAGTGCACCTTTCCTTGTATTTTCACTTAAAAGTAAAACGCCCAATTATCATCTCAACAACTTATTAAGTCAAAAAGAAATGTAAAACACATAGAACTGCGTTTGGAATCATTTAAAAAAAAGAAAGAAAGTATATTTACCTCAATTGGAAAAGTTGGTCTATGTCAGGGACATGATTGATTATTGGGTTTAGCCAGAATGACGAAAGGAAAAGATTGGGTTCTACAATCAAGATTAGAAGCAACAGAAATCGCGCGCTCTGTGCGTGTAATGCATGTAACTAGGAATATATGCACGTCTTGATGTATGTGTGCGTGCTTTTATGTGCTTGGGTATGTTTTCTGTTATTTGTTGCAAGGTAAGAGCTTTTTGCCCACTAGAAAATTATTCAATGTGCAGGAGAGACCTCCATTTCCCAACTCTACCTGCAGTCTAGCTTTGTTTGAAAGTGGGTGGGACGTGGAGCTCTTAGTTGTTATTAATCTCTTCAAACTGCATAGTTTTACAGGCTGGCGAATTTATAGAATTTTCTCTTATTTCAGTTTGTGTCTGCTTGTGTTAAAACATTTTATGCTCAAGAGAACCAGAATTTCCCTATAAAGCATGCATTAGAAAGTACAAGACTATAACACGCTTTTAAGTTACTATAATAAATTCATTGTTTTCCTTTTCTTTTGGCAATCAATTGCAATATATACGGACAGTGCTTCCAAATAAAATATGTAAAAAATATGTAGAACCTATTTGGCTTATCCTCGCTGCCTTTCTCTTATCTTCAGGACTGTAACTGATCGTCAACGTGCTATGCTAGAAGAATTTGCAAAGGAGGAAATCATTCGTGAAAATGACATGTTTGCTGAAGGCATTAGGTCCGCACATATATTTACATCTTGTTGAAATACTCGTCTCCCCCCTAAAAATATCAAAATAAAAGAAAATGTCTAGGTTTGTTGAAATTCTCCCCCTCCCACTAAAAAAATCAGAAGAAAAATGGAAAAACTGGGTTTCTGAATAAGTTTCCAGGAATCTAAGTTATGCATAGCACGCCTTCTGCCAATAAGCTGTTCACTGGAAGCCTTTTCTCGTCATTCAATCCTATTAATTTTGTAGAGCTGTTATACTTTTATACATTGTGCAATTGAGGTTTTATTTGGACTACATATAAATAGCTCTTGTGTAGTCAGCATTCTGAGTGTGGTGAACATTCTGAAAATGGTTAACAGGCTTTACCAGCAGCTGTGTACTGATTGAACTTTCAGGTGGCAGCAAATTGTTGAACGTCTATTGGAGCCAAAATTGCTGCTCCAATTCTCATTTTTCATGTTGATAATTCTCTTGCTAAACAAAATCACCTGAGTGATGCTGAGGTTGCTGCACGATTTATGTCGATGAGATGCACATTTGTTTGGTGAATGAACAAGTGGCTACTGGGTACCCTTTGATGGGTGCAAGATTCCCGTAGCTTCTCTTCTGTTGATAGTGTTTGAATGGTATTTCGACAAAATTTTACCCCTTTACTTTTGGGTAATGGATCAGTGGACATTATTTGGAGAAATGAATCTGGATAAGCTATAAAATTTCTACTTCCTGTATTAGCTTTTATATCATCATTTGTGGTAATACCTTGATTTTGTACTTCGTCTATTAAGATTTGACTAACTCACACGAGATATATACCTTGCATTCTTAGTGCTTGTTTGGTATTGCTTTTAGTGCTAATAAGCAATGGGTCATATGGTATGTGTGTATAGGAAGTAGTCAGTGGGTAAAACTACAAGTTTTAAGGAATGTGTAGATAATATTGATATTTGATAAACTTATAGTGTAGACACCATATTATAGTTTAGAGAAACATTATATATTCTTTTGAGACGAGATGGTAGGATGATTGTGATCATGAAGTTCTAATGAACTAATTTGTTATTATAATAAAATTAGGTGGTAATTAAAAGCTTCTGTTTGGTTTTGTAAAAAATTAAAATTTTAGTAGAATTTGATTAAAAAAATTAATAAAATGTGTAGTTGAAAAATTGATAAAAGTTATGAATTTCGTGAAATATGTAATTAAAAATGAATTCAGAAAAAGAAATGAATTTTTAGAAAATGGGGTCCAAACGAGAGCCAAGTACCATCAATTCGTATAAGTGTTTAAATGAGACATATCTACATTTGAGTGTTGTATTAATTAATGACATTTAAAGCTTGTGTTTAATACCAAGTGTGCTACGTAACACCGTTCATCAAAAATAGACTTCGTGTTCTCAGCACTTTGATTTGATCCCTTAATTTAAGGGTCAATTACGGCTCCAATCTTTTACATGTGGTTATGGATTCCTAAACTTCAAAACTTAGGTTTTGGATTCTCGGTTCTATTTGGACTCGGGAATTTGGGTTCTTATGAGATCATCAATTTAGATGTTAAAATCACACAAATTTTAGTTGAATACTTGAATTATGGATTAATGTTAAGGGGTTTGACATTTTTGTCCTCTAGTCGCGAATCTTCACTTGCAATTTTAACTTTTGAATTGATTATTTCAGTTACTTTGGAACCTAGATTCATCAATTTAAATGGATTCCGGATTGAAAACCTCAAATTTGAAAGATTGATGATGCAAAAACTCACATTACGTAAAAGGTTGAGTAGCTCAATCTTCATTCCCCATTAATTTGATTATTGACATTTTCTCCTCCTCAAATATTAAATCTTCTTTTTCTTCTCTGTATGTAATCAAATTGACTTTATCTAATTAATCATAGAGATTATTGGCATAATGATGAATTGCACTCATTATTTGTCTAAAACTAATCTCGCGGGAAGAAGTAGAGGCAATTGGAGCAAAGGCCGAGCTTCCACCAGCAAAGGAAGACATCAATGCCAATCCAAGCAGCGTAAAAGTGCGCACATGTAAACATAATATCGTGCTTTTTACAATACTTTTTTAAGGCTTATAATCTTTCTCTTTCGTCGATTTTGTTTGAAAAAGTTGTATAAATTAAAAAATAAATAAATTGAAAAACAGTTGGTGCCTCTTTATCTGTGCACGGTTACACTTTCCAGAACAATAAAATAGTGTTCCCATGCAAAATCTTCAATCCGTAGCAGATAAGATGATAGACGCAGGAGATATAGCCATTAATACTGTAAACTATGTCTTGCCGGATAACAACTCGTAACTCAGAATTCACTACTCACTACATCCCCAAGATGGTCAAAGCTTCACATGTTATGTTATTGAAGCGTTTATAAACTGTTAAAATTATACATCGATAGAATTGAGTTGTCAATAATACTTGTGAATTCCTTTAAGAGTGTGAATAAAAAGTGATTTAAGTGTTTATATGCAATTTATAAACACGATGTAACAAACATTTTGTTAGTATGTCTGCGTAATAAATTATTAGTAAATATGTCGTACAAGCAAAATTGTCAAAGCTAAAATTGCATTTGGTCAATTTATCTTTTAATTGTGTTAGTATCGTCGTCCAAAAGTCACTTATTCACGCAAAATTTCAATAATTTTGTTTAGTATTCCGTATTGGAATAAATCTTCACTCCACTTAATGTATCAATATACACTGAAAGAAAGCAAATTAATGTCATCTTTTTTTGCACTAATTTTCTAGTATTCTATGTGATGAGCATATTTATTCTATGTGTTAAATTCCACAAACGTTAATTTTTCATCATTTATGATCAACCTAATAATTGCATTTGTAGTCCCATTAGGGTTGCAATTCTAGTTTTGGTGGGACTAATATGTCATTAAATGATAATTGAAATCAGATGACCAAATTTCACCTTTTATTTAGCTTATAATTTAACGTCACTTAAACTTAGGTTGCATCCCCATTAAGGTAAAAATTGTAGAATCTTTTTATTGCTTGTCATTCTTGTTCTTTGTTAATTAAACTCAGTGCTTTCAGTGTTACTAATTAATGTATTTCATCTTCCTAACTCTTCCTCCCTAATGTTTTTTTTTTAATCATTTTTTCATCTTTTAAGTTAATTTATTGTGTTAACTGTATTCATATTGATGGGTAGGACGAAGATGTTTCTATGAATGGACAATGTTACACGTATTAAATCTTTTACCTACTACTCACAACACGGGTGAGGACCACATGTAGGCATGTTTAAATTCACGCGGGGCCCGCCATACATTGTGAGAGGGTGTAAAACATTCGATAAGGAATTGGGTGTACAAATATCTTTTTCCTCCTATGAATTAAGTGTACCTTTTATATTAAATAAATAAATTTTCCCTGTACTTATTATCGAAACTCGTTTAAAAAATTATACATCTGACCAATACTTATTCACAAAGTAGTAAGTGCTATTAATTGAATAGCGTTAGTCATATAATCAAGATTGATAATCTCGGTTGACAACCTCCTCACAGGAGGGAGGTTCACGATTTTTTATTCATCGTGGGCTCTCCTATTATGTGTCTAATTGTCAACCAAAATTATCAATTCTGATTGTACATGTAACATGGCCGATATTATTTCCTAGGCATTGCAATTAATTTATTAGTTCAACTGTGACAAGGGCCAGACCTCAGCAGAGCAGAGGTGCAAAGTACTGAAACTCAAACATGGGTCATTTTACCCTAGCTTTTTAATTAATGAAAATTATGGAGTAAATGTGTTACATTATTTTATCAATATGGATAATCTATAAAATAATATGGTTGTTGATTATTAGTTCAAACACATGTGCCCCAACAACACAAGCATCTTAACTACTAGGTCCACGTAGAAGTAGGATAATCCATGTGAGACTACCTACCAAGGAAGCGTTTGGTATGTTTCTACTTTTGCTTCTATTTCTCAATTTCAGAATAAGTTACTTTAATTAGGGCCCAATTAATTTAGATAAAAATCATATTTTGATAAAAAAAAAATGATGAGATGTGTGATTAAAAAGTTGTAGATCTCAAGAAATGTATGATTAAAATTAAATATTGACTTTAATTGAAAACTGATTTATAAAAAAGTTTTTCTTCTGAAGTGGTTTCAGGGAAAGTCTTTTCTTTAAAAGCTTTTTTAACTAACAGAAGCACCTTAGTAGTATAAGAAAAATAACCAAATGCGTCTAAAAAATAATTTTTAAATCTCGGAAGCTCTTTTTAGGTTTTTTAAAGTCATGTCAAACAAGTCATATCTGATGTCAACTGTAGCAGAGAATCATTCTGCAAATGACGGCTTAATGAAAATTATTTAATGTATAATTATTTATTTGTCAGTAATTTAATTGGTTTATATTATGTACGAAAGGATCTTCTACTGATGAGGAGGATTTGAACAAGCTGTAACCCACGTTGCCACATGCATAAATTGATTTGGGCTTCTTTTCTAAATTCTTACACTAAAATTAATTAAGATCTGTTTTGCAAATTGCACCTAATTGAAAACAGAATTCTTGCTGTTTGTTTAATTAATACTATTCTGATTTTCTTCTATATAAGAAAATAACTTGATTACATTCGTTATTGTCATCATCCGAGATGGAGCCACATCTAAAAGTCTTCACATCACTAGCGTGTCAATGAATCTGCTCCTGAAAAATAAAGATCTTACTATATGTACATCAAGATTTACATAAAGAATTACATAATGTCACATAACACTCTACCACCTGTCACTTTAAAATACAATCAACATTTTCATCAAATCTTTTCCCGCTTATGTATATTTTTGATGTACAAAAAAAAAATTCCTCCCCACCGCCTCGGGATACAAGAACACAACTATGAAACCCCCATTCAACTAGCAATGAGTTGTCGCTTATGACCAATCCTTCACATCTCCTCGATGCTTTCCATCTCTAAATCGCATAAGGTGCGGTTGGCTCACCCAAATGCTAGTCAATAGGTTACCTACAAAACCGAAGATGTCTCACAAGGCAAAGTAAACAACACTGCTTCATTGACGTGGCCAAGGTGAATCCCAATTTTAGGGGGTCGTATACACATCAGTCGAAAATTACTAGAGGATCAAAAGACGTAATCTAAAAAATAAGACCGAGGGTCAAAGATAATCGCCCCAAGAATATCAACTGGCATGTCTCAACCATAAATATTGTCTAACCTTCGAATGTGTCAAAAAAATATCTCGACTAATATGCCCGTCTATAGGTCATTGAGGTGAAAAACTAAACTAGGGTTTCTCATCATCAACCTTCATTTATTAACACCTCAAAAAATTGACTAGTTTCAAAAAATTACCCTTCGATTCGAATGTGTAAATATTATAGGAATATGCAACTAAAATCACATTAATTATATCAACTTAGAGTTTGCAAATTAAATACAACTATATGAATGTTGGATCCCTCCTAATTCATATGGGATGTCCAATAATCACATCACATGTGATACCATTCATAATATTCCAGTTTATTATCATCAAATTAAGTGGGAATGCATTTATAGAGCTTAATTAAGAAATCCTTTTACATCAACTAATTTATTTTAATAGTATATTTCAAATGAAATTTGTATTTGTACACTGATTTTTGACACTTACATTATTGTCAAGTGTTAATTGGATGGAAAAAACTGTTTGAAATTAAAAATGTCCAATATGATAATGACACGTGATAAAGTGTGTACGTAATAAGGTTCATTTCAAATTAAGAT